CAAAATTTAACTCTTAAAAACCTTATTATTCCTGAAGATTATGAATTACAAATTTATAATAATAAGAAGTAAACATTTCACCTATTTATGACATAAATATAATTATTAAAACTACTCGCTTCGGATGTTGATTTTGTAATAAAATTGCACTAGATTAAAATTAGATATTTACATACTATTCTTATTAAAGATAAAATTTAAGAGAATGGATTCTTTTAATATACATAATATATTTTGATAAAAATTCTCCAGTATTTAAATTTTGCACTTTTTAATGCGAGACACAGATGCAATAAATGTCAGACACGAACTTAGTATAACAGGATAAGAATCCAACTGTCTAAGAAAGTAAAATTAATGAAGTGAAGGATATGAGAAGATTCTGAAGCATGGAATACTTCCTGCATGCACAATGAGATATAATATTGGTCGCTCACAAAATACTGAATCGCGGATTAAATTCTTGTTAAGGAAAGATCAAATGTGCACGTGAAACAGAATGCTGACACTGTCGTATGTTCCTTATACATTATGCGTTATAATGCATGTCTCGTACTGCCGTATTTCAAAGAAAGTTTCATAAGTAAACACAAGACCCAACAATGTTATGTCACCCAAACAGGTCTGGTGTCGTCTTCTATTACGAAATAATGAACTTTCCATTGTTTATTTCCTTTCTTCATGCGGGCTCCTCGTCAACGTCGTCAACGTTGATTAAGTTATACCTGCTGTGTCTAACTTCATTTGCTAGTCTCAAGTGAGATGTCTTGCTGAGGAAGACGGTGCTATTTTATCTAGAACGACGGGCGATTCTCCGTCAGAATAATCCGAGGAGTGATTGAGCCAGCATATCGTTGCTCTTTAATTTATATACACGACAGTCGTTGTTAATATAAACTGATTTTTTGATGTTAATAATATCTAATATTTTTTTTATTCTCACATCAATATATCTTAGTTAAGTCAAATATTTCTCTTGAATCTATATAGAAAGCGATTCATAAATCTGAAGCGTCTTCTTTCTACCTTCGATTTCGTTCTGTAATTGCTGAAAAATAACATTGAAAGTGAACATAAAGAAGAAATCGCGAATGCAAACAGATTTTTCTTCATCTTTTTCCGGAAATTTATTATTCTGAAATTTTCGTTTTTTTCTTTGTGTTAAAGCGTACCTTGCTTAAGATTCGCTAGTTGTACGTGTAAGATAATCCCATGAGGAAGATGTTCCTCTTGTCAGAAGGACACGTGTCATTTATTATTTCATGACAACTTCTCTTCATCAAGATTAGAGGTCTCGCATGTCTTGGATAGAAAATTCATCAGTTATTAATGCGGCGAAAGAACGAAGATTCATTGCATCGAAAAATTGCATTAAATATCGATAGCGATTCTATGCTATCGATACTTATAACGAGATTTTCCCCAGTTTTTTGTTACTTCAGAAGCATAACTTAGGTACTTATTTTTTTACTTCAAAATTATATTGTTAAAGCACGTCAGTAATTTTCATGTGTTTTTATTTCGTTTCGTTCGAGTGTACAATATTATCGATTTCCGTTTCCTGCATAGCAATACAATTCGAAAACCATTGTGACATATCGGTAGAAGAATATCTCATCATAGTGCAGGATGAACGATTCTGAAATTTGACGAACGGCAAGTAGTTTTTGTTGATTTAAAGTCAATTTCGTGGGATCCCAGGCCTCAAGGACGCTTGTACAAAGGATGTCATGCTGAAAGGATAGCAGCCTTTGATTACGGTGACTTCTACGAGCGAATTGAGGTCACCGAATGGCTCGTATACCTCGATATGTCCCTTCTCTTTGACGAAAAGGATGGTTCTCGGATGGGACAAGCGGCAGATTCTTTTCACCGCTTTGAAAATCGCTGAAATTTTTTTTTGGTGTATACGATGAGAACGTTATTTCCATGTTGACGCGCCCGTTCAAAAATATTTATCCAAGCGAATAAATCGAATTTTCCTCTTCCTAAATTTATTCTTCGTGAGGCTGATTTCTGAATATTCGCGAGACTTCAATTATTCATTGAACAAACGAATGAGATAATTAATATACGTGACTTTGCAAAAAATATGAGAGATATTCCATATGTATTAAATTTGGAGCAACGAGAATTGGATCATGATGGCATAAAGCTTTGACAGAAAAAGGACTATTTGAAAATTAAATGAAATCGAAAAACTGTCCCGGAACATTTTTACGAAAGTTTTGATCTGTCATAGCATTTTATACGAGCATATAAGTTTTAATTACACAAATAGCTTTTACTATAATTACAATTACAAACAGTGCATTACTTATTTTGTACATGTTATTCATATTTACTATTCTAATTTGCAGAAAACAGTCAACTTAAATAATTACAATAATAAATATTTTATCTAAAAAATAAAAATATATTATATTTGATAACATATATTTTGATAACATAATTAATTAAAAATATATATCAGATTAAAAACTGTGCTATATTTACTATATATACTATACAGTAGACGTTCTTAAATATCTAATAATAATTATTAAATATTATTTTTGTATAAAACAAATTCTAAGAAATGGCATAAATTCTTTAGTACATTTCGGGATGATTTCTTTATATATAACTCTGCATAAAACTAAACTTTGTTTTAGAAAAACCAATGTGCTTTCTTTTTATTAAATATTACATAATCGTAAGAGTTTCTTTACTTGTACAAATAAATCAATTCTCATTTTTATAATATGTTGGCGTACGTGGATATATCTCGAGAAAATATGATACATGATAAACATATACAATGCAACTTACACGAAAGAACGTGTACTTTATGTTAACTTTATTGCATCTTTGCTGCAATAGAAACGTAGGAGTTTATTGTGTATAAAGTTCAAAGGACAATGAGTTAAGATGTTTATTATTCTTGTACTTGTTTTTGAGAACTGACTATGATATAACAGACTTTGCATAAATCGTAAATCCGTCGAGTAAGAGAATGTTTTATTCGTGTAATCATTAATCTGTATAATGTATTCTCATGTTATTTTCATGAATATTACATTTTATATAAATCCAGTTGCGTTTATATATAAAAATACATATATATATATATATATATATATATATATATATATATATATATAATAATAATATATA